ACTTTGTAACGCAATATCAATGATAAAATGCATTATTTAAAATGTAATAAACGTTCAATTTATATCCATTTATATTATTAACAAAATATATCATTTTTGAGTTACTCAATAACTAAACTTTTTTAACAGCTGACCCAGAACATGAAAGATTCATCGTGTGTAATAAAGGTACCAAAAACTATTGTGTGCAATGTATTAAGAGTTAACAAATTGTGAAACACCTTTCTATTAGATTATTTTCCCTTTCTCTCTCTCCTTTTCTCTACATGCAAGCTTCTAATTGTGTATTTAATGTCACTATTCGCTTTACACGATTTGACGTCTAAAACGTTTCTGACTGGATTCAGAAAAAATCGAAAAACAGAGATATATAAATTTTATTAATAAAAACTTTCAACATACTCCATTCTTTCCCTCTTCGACTTCAATGCAATGCTCAGAACATACTTTCAACCGTTACATAGAGAAAAGGCTTTTTTTTAAATTAAACACAAATTTATGCATTGGAATAGTCCAACCAAATGGATATTTAAATTAAGAATGTAATTAATTGCATTAAAACTAAATTTTTTTGATTGAACAAGATATGTTTCATTCAAAATTAAATTTGTTTCAATGAAATAAATAGAACTCTCGAGTCCAAACAAATTTTTTTCTCTGTGTAGAAGTTTTTATAGTAATCATCTTTCGAAATGCTCTTCAATGCGCTCGTCACATTGAAAACTATTTCGAAGTCAATTTGCTTTGATATCTACAATTTTATCAAAAGCATTCCCTTCATTTGCATTTTCTGAAGTCAAAGCCATCTGTGTCTAAGAAAACGACAAACATCATCTTGATTTTAAATTTTGTCGCTCTCACTTTGGTTGCTTCCTCTGAAATCAATCCAGGTTTGAATTTTGAAACAAAATTTGTTTCAGACTGTGACTCTGGAATTGATCAACACCCTTCTTGAATTTTGAAATAAAATTTGACAACAATCCGCTGTTCCATTACAAAAATTTTTACAAGGGAAAAAATCCAACAGAATTCACACGGCCGGTTTTTGAAACATATCGCGTAGCATATATGCAGCATCATGAAAAAATTGCACAAGTAGTCAAATATTAATATTAAAAGTTAGTTGTCGGAAAAATGGTATTACTTGTACATTCAAGACAAAATCAGTTTCGGAACTTTTTAGACAGACTATGCTATAAAGAGCATAAACGTATGAATAATTAACAATATTATATGTACTTTCTCAGACATGCGCTAATTACTTTGTTTAAATTTGAAACCCGAAGAAACCACATTTTCGACATAAACGTGATTCGAGATGCTCATATTACGTCGATCAAATATTAGTTGAAACATGAACTTTGCGATTGCGAATCGTGAAACTCTATACAAGTTAATTAAACACAGGACATAGACATACTCTGCATTTCTGCGGCATATTAAGACCCGACATGCAGATATGTTTGTCTTTTTCTCCCAAATTAAAACTGACGAATTTAATTTCTGGCGTAATGAATACGGAGAAATATATTTATGTTAAATCTAAACAATTTCTATTTTACGTATAAATATATAAATGGTGTCTTGGGGGATTGTATTGGTTTTAACTTTTGTTGTTCTGTGATAGATTCCCATGAACATTGAAGACACAAATAAACATGAAAATACTTACCAGAGAGTAACTTTTTTGCATTAAAAAATGCAAAATGTGTATTGTACTATACCTCTTAAAATTCGAAGTTGTTGCTAAATATTGTTAAGATTTAAGTATTGATACATATCTATTATACAAATCGATAGTAATATTAAATGTCTTTAATATAAAACGTTTATATACACTGTTAGATATTGAAGGAGCAATGATAACAGTGTATCATCATCATCAAGAAACGCGATAACGTCTCGAGCCATAATAGTAAAAAACGCTAAAAGTATATCCTTTCTTCAGCAAAACTGCTAATAGACACTATAGATTTTTAAACAACACTAAACGAAACAGATTAATTAAATATTTCAGAGGAATTTTGGTTCTCTTTCTTCCAAGCAGTCGCAGTCCTGTTAAACAATGATCCATGGTGATTTTGAATAGAAGTAACGTAGTACAGCGATCGTTGATATGCACCGTCTTGCAGCTCGATGGAAAAGTTTTGAGGAATTTACACAGCCGCGTTATTTCAAGAAAAAGAAGAAAAATGCAGCGTAGAATTAGATTGGTTGATTCGCAAGCAGCAATCGCGCAGCGTACTTGTACCTGATATGTTTGAAAATTCGGTCACGGCGAATTTCACGCTTGACCACAAAACAGAAGGCGTGAAATATCGTCGAAACTCAGAACACGTACGTACACAGCATTGCGAGAAGCTCGGCATAACTTTCTGAACAGAAATCTTGCGAACATAACACGAAACTCGATAACGAACTTCTTACCAAGTTTTCCTCTTTTATTTAATATTTTTCACTTATTAGATTCATATTTTTTAAACGTTTATAACTTTTATTCTTTAGTCCTTTGTAAGATATATTAAAATTTCACCTGTATTCCACCATTGCGCTTTAAGAGAAATCGATACTCGATAGTTTGCATTTACATCATGAGCCCGAAAATCCCGGTGTTGCGATTTTACGCTCGATCGAGCCGTGAAACCTAGAATTATGTTTCCAATCTTCGTATATGCCATCGTCATTGTTCAAGTCCACCTGATTATTCATACAATTCGTAACTGGTAGTATTGGTATTGGAATATTGCAACAAATCCTACATATCAAAGCTCGTCGAGGCGGTTGGAACAAATTCTGGAATTTCGCTGTTTGATCGAGCCTGTACGATGCGATGCTCGCAAGTCAAACCTGCATGTGTGTACGTCGCGACAAAATCGTAAAATAATATATAGATATATATCAGGAGTTCTCAATCCTTGCATATATTCACGCTCCGTTTATTATTTATGTATCCATTGCTTACTGTATAAATACTTTGCAGATGAATGACGTAACTCAGCACGAAATCCTCTTTTAAAGAGGATCCATTCAAAAGAGGAACATCCGTAATATATTAGAATATAATAGAATATTTGAAACGCGCAAACTTTATTAATTAATAAAATTAGAGAAATGCTGGGAAAATAAATAAATAAGTGAAATAAAAAATTAAAATATGTAAAAACAGATATATCGATAAAAGTGAATATAACTTCACATAAGCATGAATGTGATTGCCTGCCTTATCAATATTCATAAATTCTGTATATGTCTTGTAAAATATACGTTTTGCTTACGCGATTTGATTTTTAAGAAATTTGTGCTGCCATAGTTTGATTGTGATTCAACTACTATTCGTATTCATTTAATCATGTTTCGTTAAAAAGACGTATGTTAATAACCGTTCGATGACTTCAACGAAGTAGAAGTGTGGAGACTGAATAAATTATTATAATATCAATGCAAAATGACGGGAGCGCTAAATTGAGAAACCCTGAGAGAAACTCGTATGTAAATATCGAGACTAAGCGTTTTTAAAATATCAAAAAAATTTTTTTCTGTCTTGAAAGGCGATTTAATAGTGAATTTATATTTTTTTCTCGAAAAACATGTGTTTTCATGAAAATAAAAATTATGATCCCAAAAGCTTAATAAACCATATCTCTCTCTTAAATATTCCCACGTTCAGAAAAATATCTTATTCTCGATGCACAGGCTCTAATAAATGTCTCTCTAACTCAGAAATAATTATATTCTTCGACATTTGATAACATGAGTAAATGAGCATTCAAGCTAGCGTATCCAAAGTACACTGTTCCCAAAAGTTAATCTTCCATGTTGTCCTAAAGCTTCTGCCCCATACTCGGTGTCACCCTGTATATCGTGAAAGGACGTAACTTTATTTATGTAACATATGTATAAGTAATATATATTATATCTCTCTCTCTTTCTCTCTCATTTTCTCTTTCTTTCACTCTCTTTCTCTCCCTCCCTCTCTCTTTCTTTCTCTACATGTACCGAAATATAAATACATACAATTACACTGCGAAACGCGAGTGTATATAGCGTGTTTCTATGTATCGTCGTACAAACGGCGGTCTCGGCTGCTTTTGCTTTGAGCGAAAAAAAATATTGCTATAACTTATATCCTACGTTAATACTGTCACGGCGTACTTAATCATCCAGATGGAGACGTGTAGTGCATAATATATGCTCGCATAATAAATACACTTCTAACAACTTTAACCCTCCGCACTCTCCGTGCCTCTTCCTCTCTCGCGCGGATCTCATTATTACTTGCTTTTGCGAATTTAAATTACCTTCCAGGGGTGTAATCGCCCTTGTGAACGCGCGATTATTACATCTTGACGTAGAGCCAGCCTGTCTCTGACGAGTCCTTTGGGCGCCGTACACGTTTGCCGTGTGTGATTTGTACAGATTATCTAAATTTCCTGCTAATTTGCGCTATACCAGTTGATCGACGCGGTGTATTTGCTTTCGCTTCGCAAAGCCTTACTTAGCAATTACTTGAGCTGCTCGTGCGAGAATTCAACTCTAACGTTCATGCATGTGTATTCTAGCGCACGTGTGTCCTCTATACAGCGCGTCATGCCACGATAGTTCGATATCACAGTGCACGCATTTTCACGCACTTGGACGCGATGAATCATTGCTGCGATACAACGAATACAACAATTTTCGCTGTCTGATCGCGTGTCAATTTCATGTATACATGAAGAAATATCTTCTTCATTTTACGTCAACATGATTAACGAGTAATATCTTCAAGTATATTGTACATTAATCGTCTTGTGAATGTCTCGTAAATTTGAGAAAAAATATTATTAATATTTAAATATTTTATATAGTCTACGTATACGCAGAAAAATTCGTCAAATAAAAATATCATTTTTATTTCCATTTTTATTTTAATAACTTTTGTAAGCTTCGTAAATTATTTTGATGGAACGCATAAAAATCATGTAACGTTCATTGTAAATAACGTTTTATCTATGTCTTTATATCGCTAACCGTATTTTCCAAGAGTTTTAAAATGGGAAATGTTTCGTGAGTCTCGGCTTTCCTTATTCGCTTGGAAAACGATTGACACGCGACGGAACGCGAAAACCGATAGGCAAATGCAGCTGTTGAGGTTCCAAATACAAGAACAACAGTACCTGTTGCAAGTTTGCCGAATGCCTACAGTATCGTTATTACATCACAAATACGACGATTTACACCGAGTTATGTTTAGTGTCCCGTGTATCTTCTTCAGCGGTAGAAGTGGGTGAATTGCACGCTTATATACTGATCAGCTTGCGGAAGGCCTTACGGAATTCGGGGTTGAACACAGTGTATATTACGGGATTCACAAAGCTGTTCATGTAGCCCAACCAGGAAGTGACGATGAAGGCTGTGACACCAGGCTGACAAGCCTTCGTCAGCTTCGTGCAGATTGCATCCATGATGTTGCAAGTGAAGAATGGCACCCAGCATATTAGAAAGACACCTGTGACATTTATGATGTTGATCGAAATAATTATTTCAGTAAATGATGTATGATTAATTACTACTTTATAAAATATAACATCTCTTAACGTTCTTAATTTTTTATTTATCGATATAATTTTAATTATAACGATGTATGTATGTCTCAATAAATGCTTACTGTTCTTTCTCTAATAATTATATCTTAAATACAAAATAATACAAAAATTTAATATAAATTCTATATCTAATAAACTCAATATATATAAATTCTTTATACTTTCATTGTTATCGCTCTATTAATAACTTTAAATCTTGTTGCGTATTTAAATATTTTAAATGAAAAACATTTAAAAAAAGGAAGTTATATAAAGAAAATTATTATATAGAAATCATATTCATTTTAGTAAAAGAGTTGGAGAATTTTAACATACAGTAAAGATTAATAATGCAATTTGACTTTATATCTCTATTCCTAATTTTTAATTCATAATGTAGTGTTTATCATCGGGAATTATGAAATGCGTACGTTCTAAATTAACTATTACAATTTCCTACAAAGCAAGTATACCTTAAGAAAGTCTTAACATTTCCCTTAGTTTGCAAAATACATTCTGTTAACGATTTTAATACATTAAGGACTTCAGAAACTTTCAGCGTCTGTTATTAACTTATCCTTTGATGTTTTATGTATCAGAAATATTTCTTGCAAACTACAAATTATAATCCACTTAATTCTCTTTCATTCAACCTCACTGTGGATTTTATTCGAAATAAGTTTGACAAGTTATAGAGTCTTAATAAAAATACCGAGATTTTCGTATTTTTTCTCTGTAATAATATAATATCTACATTCTTCACGATATTTCTTAGAATCTATTGAATTCAATGTTTCAATATTCAAGTAAATAAGTCTACATTTCGAATAATAAAAATAGCAGTTTCGTATGGATATTTATTGCCACATATTTATTACTCGCGAGATATAGTTACAGAGATAAATCGCTTGATTCTATCGAATCATCATGTTGGACATGTAACTAATCTCCTAATAGTTCAATGTTTTTAAATCACTTGCCTATATCCGTCTAACCATGTTCAAACTTTCACATATATCCATTTACAGTACCGTCATTCTTTCTAATTCTCGCTTCTAACTCGCAAGTCTGTGAACTCATCAATAATAGATGTAAGACGGATCGAGCTGAGCTACTTATTAAAGTAGCAGCACGTGCGTAACTTACCTAACACGATCGCCAGAGTTTTCGTGGCCTTGCGCTCCTTCTTGGCTGAGCTTTTCTCCCTCTTTTTTTTACTAGCCTTGTTGGCCTTGTATATTGTGAACCTCGACCCGGCCGATGCGTTCTGCGAGCCAGCGCTCTTCAGCCGCTTCAGCTCCTGCTTGTTCGCGCCGCCGTTGTTACCGTTCCTCTTCGTCTGCGTCGAAGAGGACACGCTGGTCGGACCTCGTGTCGGCGGAGGCGACGATGAGGTCGACGAGGACGGCGGGCCCGACGTAATCCGCGGATTCGGGCTCGGGCTTGAATTTGTCTCGAGTGGCTCGTGGATCATCGTGCTACTCGCTGCGACGTCGTATCCGCTGGAGTCTTGCCGCTGTACATGTGGTGTCCCAGTCAGCTGAGCTTGTGCCACCGCGCTAAAACGACAACTGTCATTCGAGTGTCAGAAAATCCCAACATTCATCCGCTTCGTATTAGAGTTTACAACTCGCATCACCAGTCACACTTAAATCCGGAATTAGAAGTCCGAAATTTCGTGACAGAAACGCGAAAGTTACTCAATACAGAAATAAAGATAGCTTTCAGAAATTTTAAATATCCTTGTATAAATTATTTCTTTTTCAATATTATCACGAGAGTATATTTTTGCATTTAAAATGATTACGGACAATATCTTCAAAGATATCATATAATACAATATTTTATCATTTTATATTTGCACAGTAAAAAAAATTTGTGTATTTGTGTTGGAAACGGTCCACTCACAATTTTCTAACATATTCGAGTGTTAATTTAACTATTTATGTTTTAAAATACATTATTTTTATGTTACTTGTTCACTTACTCATAAATTGTGTCATTTTGACACTAAGAAACATTGAATATTAATTTCACAAAAAATCTTTAAATATAACATAATCACATTATGTTAAATTAACACTCAAATATGTTAAAAAATTCAACACAAACGTGTATGGACCGTTTCCAACACAAATACACAAACTTTTTTACTGTGTACGAAAAATAATAAAAATATTTTTAGGAAAACGTTACGGGGAATTAGGGAATATTTATTTAACAGATCAATATGAATTAAGAAATAGTACTTATTAAAATATTCATGCAAATGGGTCTTACATCTTTCAAAGGCAAGACTACAGAAAAAAACGTCCTAAATAAATATACAACGAGATACAATTTATTATATTATGTATAAAAGAATATCTCTCTTTAATATCTTTTTATGTGTCTTACTGAATTTTAATATAAATCATCGTTTAATTAATATATTATGTATTAAAATAATTATGTAATCATTTTTATATGTATAATTTTAAAATAATAAACCACGTACAACTTTCCACCACAAAGATGATATTACATTTCTTCTTTTTCCTTTTCATATAATTTTTAGAAGCGTAACTAAAAATATGGATGCGATTATCAAGTTTAAAGATGATGATAAATTGTACCTCGTGCAAAAATAATTTCATAACAATTCGATGCGAAGTCTCACGCGTCCTAAAATATGCGGCAGTATTACTTGAGCGCTGAAAATATACAATCTAATTAATAACCGTGAAATGCCCGTGTGCACGGAGTTGAGTGGTCCATTTTTAAAGGTAACGCGAGTGCGGCTACATACAAATTGTTCATGGATGCCAGTACAAAGAGGTCACCCCATCGCGATTAGCTTGCGAACTTCCGGATTACTATCAGAGCGACGAGTTTCCGTTAGACTAGTATTGTGCACAGGCTTTGAATAGAGTTTTGGACATAGAAAGAGGGGGGGAGAAGAGAGAGAAGGAGAGAGCGGACTCTCGTATAGCTCCGAATGACATGCACTGCGATTGTGGAGAGAACGAAGAAAATAATTACGAGATCATCGGCTTTTCGCGATTCAACCTGCGCTCCCATTCATTCTCTTTCCCCAATCTGTGAATTTTTTTGTTTCGTCCAACGCGCAAGAACTTTTGAACGTCCAACATGTCAACTGTCCCGAATATCGACGCGACTTCCTGTTCGAATTTTCCGATCGAGCGAAGTTCCGACGTCGCTCTGAATTCTTTTCTTTATCCATTCGAGACGAATTACCGAAAGGTGCTTTTAAAAAAGGAAAAAAACCGATGTTTTACTTCAAAGAACAAAAAAAAAATAAACTGAAGAAAAAATTATCATTCAAGATGTTTAAGGAAACGTGTTTTTAATTTATAAAAAAAACGCGAAATCAATTTATAAATAAGACAGAAAAAATATGAACAATACACAAAAAAACTATTTCGCTCAAATATTTAAAAATTTAGCTCGATAGATACAGATCTGAAAATAATTTTGTTGAACCATCAAAATAATTATGTAGGAAACTCAAGTACTTGAGCGTCCTATATAATTATTTTAATACATTAACAAAATTACTTTTAAATCTAGCTAAATTTTTACTTCAATAAAACCGTTCTTTCTATGTATATACATTATATAAAACTGAAAATAATTTTTGTTATTTGATAAAATAACACGTATTTCGCTACTACAGGTATATTATTATATAATATTATACTTTAGATGAGCAAGGATAGTCTGAAACAATAATCACCTCTTGCTTGAAAAAAGTCTGCAATTATTCTCACGTTACATGTAATCTGAAGAGAACTCAGAGCAGAAGGGATATAAGCCCGCAAACTTTGCGACACGCGAGGCCAAAGTAATATCCTCTTAATTGAGGACTCCCAATTGGCCAATTAAACGGCAGACGAAAACTTTTGATTGACTCAAAGCTTTTCCGTGTCGCTTAGAAATCTTCAGAAAGAGTAAGAAAATAATTGTGTAATTCACCACGACCTACGCGCGCGACCTTTTTATTTGTCCATTTTATTTAACGGATTGCTCTTCCTTTCGTGCAGCTTGCTGAAATTCCTTTAAGTGAAATTTCGTGAATTTCATTTGCTGTACGTTAAGTAGAAAATAATAGCATCCGAAAAGTTCGTGGAATCATTTGATGGAATTCTGCTAAATATGCATGTAGGTCAAGTTACACAAACAAAATTTAATTTAGCATCAATAAGCTCCTTTAATCCTCTTTCAATTTCGCATTTCGTACTTTTCTCAAATAGCGAGTCGTAACCAAGAAGAACTAAACAGAAAGGCAAGCTACTTCGTGTGATAATGATACGGAGAACCTCAGATCAGATCATTTCAAACGGCGCATAATGAAAAGAACGCGAACATTTCTCTACTTCTCTACTTTACAGATGAATGGAATATCGTATAATCATCTCATTTGCCTTCCAGAACTTTTAACCGTTCGTTTTATTTCTCGGAACTCAGCAAAAGCAGATGAGAAGTTGTATCTTGGTTATTCAGTGCCCTTCGTTATTCATATAGGTCGTTTTTAAATTAATTTTGACATTCCCGCGATGTATTGACATAAAAAATAAATTTAATCTTATAATTTATTTAATATACTTAAGGATATTTATCATTTGAGTTAAGTATTTAGATAATATAAAAATGCCGTTTCTCTTCAATGCAATATTTTTTAATAATGCTGTAAATAAAAAAATTTTAAATTTTATATTATTTCAAAATAATCTTGTACGAAAATTAATGTATTAAATATTAATAACTGAGTTATTAACCCTGATTTTACAATAATTGAGATGAATACTTAATATCGAGCGCAATTTATCGCAAATCAATCATATATTTTACGAAAGACCTAGCAGATGTTCTTTGATCACTCGACTTTATATCAAACTGTCATCGCAAGAGGTGCACATTTCAAACTAAGCGTCGCTAACGATTTGAAAGACGGTAACCATCTCAGAGACAACGCAATTTTTGCATCGATGATCGCTATGACGAGTCGCGTCGCACAACGTCATGACAATGCGATCCGATATCGTTGAAAGAAAATTCCGACATCTTCCTTCGGATCGGGATGCGCGACGGAGATGAGGAGAAACGAGTGATAAGAAGATATGATGAAATTCTTACGCTGCTTCCTCGACGACCGTGGCTAAAAAGAATTCCGTGCTCTTGTCATTGGAGATGACGACGACGGGATCGAGGGGCGTCTCATCCTCGTCCTCGTTGCTGCCGGAAGCGGTGTTTGTCGGTTCCTCGATCCCAGGTGCCACCAGGGCGGCCGCCCCCAGCGCCGTTTCCGCAAACCTTGCCACAGAATACCCACTACGTGATCTTAGTCAAAAGCCTCTAGAAAAGCCTCTACACCTATCATGCACTTCCTTGTTTATCCGGCATCCCCCAGCGTTAATCCAGCAAGTAGCGTATCTATCATGCACAAAGCGACGACACGCTTTTTGACAGCACCTGCAAGATCCTGAGTGACAGAGCGTCGCTGTTTCCTTTTTACGGCGGAGGTCTCAAACGAGTCTTTAATTTGTTACGAAACAGCGATCAAGTCGAAAATGGTTACAATTTTTTCTCTCTAATTTTGAATATAATAAATAATGTATTTAAATATATATATTTTTTCTTTTTTATATTATAGTTAGCATTTAAAAGTTTATTAAGTATATCAAAACAGAAAACGTATTTAATCATATAAATATTTAAAATTTAAGAAAAAAAGGAAACTGAGTGGGAAAGGAGGATAGAGAGATAGAGAGAGAGAGAAAGAGAGAGAGAATGGGAAGAATGAGAAAGAGAATGAGTGTGTGATTTTGATTGAATGCGCAATGGTACAAATTAAAGTCTGTTGCACGCTAATTTATCTAACTAAATGTATATTTGCGTTTTGATCGATAACATATCCAACAATATAATTCTCATTGTAACAATTTACATTGAGCATCTCATTTGCATTTAGCACAACGTTTATCGAATATAAATCGTTACGTTAATTTGTATATAACAAGCTTTTAACATACTAATAAATTCAACCGGATTTGCTATAAATTTTTCGATCTCCCACACAATATCTAAAATTCGTAAATTTCCTAAAAGTTGAATATTCTCAAAATGCTATTGTCAAAACTTTGGCTGCTTGGATAATGTAGAACTGCGTTACAATGTTTAATTTCTGTGAACTCGCACAGAATTCGTTTTGCATTGCAAAATAATTCATATATTCGGCGAAGAAGACCGTGATTTGAGCTGCCATAAGCTTTATTAACACTCCTATCCGCAAATTGGAAGCTTCGCTGTTAAATTTTGCATTATCGAACTTGGAAGTGATAGTATCCGCGATATATTGCGACAATATATGCAGATACGTTCAATCGCCTGATCAAAGCATAACCCAGCATTTTCTCATGCACATTTCAAATACGTGATAAAGCAATATACCTAAACATACATGAATTTTTCGCAAAGAAGAAATGTTCTCACATGAAAAAATAAATTTTCATATATAGTTAAGAATTCATTTTAAGAAATTATGATAAAAGATCTCCAATATGTATTAAATTTAAAATGATATATAATATATATATCTTAATAATCTATTATTAAAATAACAGAAAGCTATAAAAAATATTTTAAGATATATATCTACATTAAAAAATATGTGCAAATATATTTGTTTTTATACTATATCAAACAACAACAATTAAACATCTATAAATATTATACGTACACTTAAATACGAAAAATAAATTAAGAGGCACTTTTATGTTGGCATTTATTTTACCATTACATTTTAAATACGTTTATTTTAATTAAAATTATTTCATACGTACATATTTTCTAAACAAAAAAAAAACACTTATCGTATATGAAAGAAAATATCGTTATTATTGTATAAATATAATACATGCAATCTCAATTTAAAAAGGTAATCTATTTTTTTCCTTCTACTCTGATTTCATTTTAAATCTCAGCACAAGCAATTTTAGTTTTACATGTGTTATCACGAATATGGAATGGAACAATTATTAATTGTATTAATCATTGACCAAATAGCCTCGGGATTTACTTAAGATTTAAGATACGCGTGCCACGGCAACATGATTCGTGTATTAGATTGACAAGATAAATCAAAATTTCGATGTCCTCGACTGAATCTTCGCGCGATAACAAAGTCGACAAAGGAATAACGTGGTCAATGTGAGTACATGTGGGCGGATTAACCGGGACGCCAGATTATGTCAGATACATTGCACCCTAGAGATATCAAAATGCGGATGAACTTCCCAAATTGCGACTGCGACTGTAAACACCTAAGTTTAATTTATCGTTCACCACCGTCATATGTTATTGTAAATGAGGTCTCCGTCAAAGTTAAACCAAAAGCAATTATCAATTTACTGAGACGCGTTGCCTTTAATTCTATGACGGACAAATAGTGAATGAAGAGATATTTTTCGCATTTAAAAAAATTTTTTTAAATAAAATAAAATTCACAAGTAAACAATTATGATATGAATTTGGACCGTTGAGAATAAATCTAATTAAATAAGAGAAATCCTATATTCGATCAAAGCGAATCTTATATACATCTGATTCTCATATTACGTCTCAAGACCGAAAAAGATTTCGACACGTGGGGTTTGCAGAATCAGATATGTTTAGAAATTCACACTGAACTATTTAAGCACTAAAATCTGCTTTGACCAAATATAGGATTTCTCTTGTTTGAGTAAAATTCAAAAATGGTTTTTTAAATATGCGAACAAAAGAGTGTAGAAGTTTTAAAACCGTCTAATTTTGAAAAAATTAATCAATAAGAAGATATTAGAATTAAAACTGTCACGAATATAAGTTTGGCTGCTTAGGTATCAAGTTATAATTAAATTAAATTACATTTTGTATCAACATACCAACATAATTGGCAAATGTTTAAATATTCTTTACTGTAGAAAATTCTATTTTGCGCAGAAGAATGTAAATTGAATCTATTAAAGTTAATTGATATTATTAAAATTATCTAACGCTAAACTTTCATTTTTTTTTGTAGCTCTGCTAATAAGATATAGTAAGAATCGAGATAATATGCAGGGTGCATTCCGTTTCACTCATGATGTGCATAATGCATCATTTATCCTTGTTTAACATTCGGTGAGTAACAAGGATAAAAGATGCATCATGCGCATTATGCGTGAAACGGAACGCACCCATAATCTTTACTTTTTAACTTAAATGACACCTTTCATTGTGTGGTAGCTAGCCTTACTTTTCGGTCACTATTTCCCCGTACGTGCCTTTTCCGCGTTTAACGCTTTAAATACTTGGATTTTCTGCGCTCTTCGCTGGAAAGAAGGTAAACAGGAGTTTGCAGGAGAAAATTTCGTTTACCTTGGTGGTACTCCTATCGGATAGACTCAAGTACTTAACGAAGCGCCTTAATATTTTTCGAAAATCTTCTTAGGTAGCTAAGGATGTCGGATATCTACGAACGTATATGTCTGCTGAGCTTCATGTGATTCTGTGTATACATTGTTCCAAATTGTTCCAAAAACATCACGGCTCCCTTTTTTTAAATCGAATTTAATAATCATCAACTTCAGTAGATTAAGGAATGAATAAAACTTTAATCGAAAGCTACCTTTGTTCACAACTTTTTAATTTCCAATATTAAATATCTTTCCTACTTTAGGCCGAAAATTAGTTTCCTTGAAAATCAATTTCAGTTAATCGAAATAAAAGAGCTTCTTATCCACCATTAGAATTCAAATCGCTATTTTTTAATTTAACGCTAATACAATCATTATTTTTTCCAATTACTAATATAATTTACAACATAGGAAAGTGATTATATTATCTGAATATTTATGCAAATAAAAGGGTTTGTAGGAGTTTTAAAATTGCCCAATTTTGAAGAAATTAATGAACAAAGATAAAATAATATCGCCAACATTTTATAATTGAAAAGATATTGCAATTAAAACTGTCACAAATATTAGTCTGGCTTATAAATCAAGTTATTATTAAATTAAATTACACTTTGTATCAACATTATTTATTGCAAATGTTTAAATATTCCTTATTGTAGATATCATGTTAAATTTTAAATGATCCACGTGAAATTGCTGTACGCGTTCGAATTGCATATGTGACGGAAACACATAGATACGGTAGAATATTTCATATTTCTTTAAAACCGTCATCGCGATACTTTGCAAGGTAAATAATCCCTACATCGAATTCGAGCTGCGGTAAGGTTATATGCGATTCTGATGCATCGGAAGTAAATGGTAATGCACATAAATAAACACGAATATTATTATCTTGGTTTACGACATTACGTATGGTACGTGCGAATTTTATGCAGTTGCAGATATTCACTTTGCATGATGTCAATAAAATATCGCGAGAAGTCTATCGCCATTATATTTTAAACTCTACACTTAAAATAATTAAGTTATTCTAGTCTCTTGAAATAAGAATAATATTCATTGTTTTGTATAAACACATATTTTTATTTAAATAAAACATCATTCCTTTACTTCAAAAGTAAAACAACTAAAAAAATTAAGTTTTTCAGAAAAAACTATTTTTCAATTTAACAGAAAATTATTAATTAATCTTTCTATTTTTTTTTTAGAGAGAATAATATTCCAAAGAATTTAGAGAGAATTAAATATCAGCAAAAAAATTTTTGTTTGACAAATTTTAAAAATTCATTCTTTTTTCAGTTTGATAATTTTAATATCCTACAAAATTGTAACAAATTCGGAATAGTTCATAACTAGAAATAGCATCAATAATTTATATTTACTTTGATCGGCTAAAATAATTATATAAATTTAAAGTAAAACAATTTCTTCTCTCTCTCTCTTTCTCTCTCACTTCAATTACAAAATTTTACATAACTCTAATTCTCTATAGAAGATTCCTCTTTATTTACAAAAACGACAAAACTCAAAGTGTAGAAGGTATTATGATCTCTTTGAAAACACTAAGAACGATACAAATGCTATTTGGTAAACGGATTTTAAAGTTAAGTTAATTTACTTTCAATGATTGATATAGTAATTTTTATCTAATTCATTTTTGGTAATAACTCGCAAATCATATTTTTTAAATTGTGTTACTTTTGAAATAAGAGAACGATATTATATAATAATAATAAAATATGTAAAACATTTTTCTCCTTTCGATTCCTTTATTCCCATTCTAATTTTATTCGACATTCTTATGCAATCAATGAAAAACCTTACTTAATTTGTTATCATCTTTCCATTATAAATGTCAAATGTCGATAAAGAATATTTTTCTCGGTAATATTCAATTTGCATGAACTTTAACGCAAAGGGACAAACAAGGAAGACGTAACGAGATGCATGCCTAGAAAGGTACACGAACAAAAAGACTGGCGATTAAGCGGCGTACAAGTAGTTTGCTATTCAAGACGAGACTGCCCTCGTCAGCACGACGGAAATGAAAGCACGTGCGAGGCGGAGGCGTGCGAGAAAAGCGAATTATCCGAGGGATGCTCGAGACTTAACCCTCGGTCGCTCCGTATCTCAACTCGCGTTGCGCCAGCTGGCGTCAATCTCCGCGAGAAATTGTCTCGTTGGAATGCGAGCCTTACGCGGTCACGAAAATTGAAAAGAATCGTCGCGTATTGCGCGCGCGACGTGTTCCAAGTGTCGTCAGCCGGTTCTCGCACTTATCATGTCGGCAAACGGGTCGGATAATATATAAGAGAGAATATGAATAAATTTTCACCAATGCATATTTTCTCGGAGAACGATTTGTCCGCAGACACGCGAATCATGCAAATCAATCCTGATTAGATCTGTTACGTATAATATCGTTTCAACCGCAAGTTTTCTTATCGGATTTCGAGATAGTTTATATTCGACGAAATTGTGAAAGAACAACATTTGTTAAACTACTTTTCAATTTCCGTTGCTATAATTTTTGTAACAAATTTTCCTTAAAAATTAATTAAGATAAAGATACTCTCATTTTAAATAAATACATTATATTCTCTAAATCTGAATCAGTGGTATCACTGATATCAGTGTCAAGTATGCCATTGGTAATCAGTGAATTAAATGTGAGATTCCTAACCTAGCTAATCTTTATTATGTGATCTAACTAACCTTGTTTTAGTGCTTAAATTCAATGAATATGATATTGGAAGATTGAAATTAACGTGCAAATATCAATAGTTTAGTTATACAATGCTCAAACATTCTTTCTTTTTTAATTGAACTTCACTGATTATCAATGCCAAGTATGCCACTGGATAATTAGTGACTATCCACTGATTTAGAGAGATATATAATGAAATATTATCTATATCAAGATCGAGAAATAATACGTTCTCTAAAGGCCTATTTTTCGGTTAAATCTGTTGCACTATTAAGAATTTAACAAACAGAGAAAAAGTATCGACAGACAGGAAAAGTTAAAAATTCAAGAATTTATGGTACAAGGCTCAGAGATTGGGAATGTAACAGTTCAAAGATGCATAAAAGAGTACAAAAGTGTACGTAAAAGATTTATAAGTTGCTGTGTTTAATTTTTCTAAGTATTGTGCTTGTATCTTGCTTATGTTATTGAATTAATGATTGGACAGACACAAAACATCGAGAAAGCACAAATGTATTTTCAATCCAATTTATCTGTATAAGATATTAGCGTTTTTCTGAACCAGAGTTTAATCCGAACTGTATTAAGATTTCGTTCGTTTTATTTTTTTACGAAATTGCATGATTGTAAATATATCAGAGGAAGCAGAGACAATAGTATACAAACATATGTATGTGTGTATTGTGTGTGTGTATGTATATAATATTTGCATGCGTCACATGCGAAATATCAATTTTAGTAAAAGATACAGCACAATATCTTTCATTTACCTTGCAATAAATAAAAAGTACATTCAATATTAAAACAACAAGAAGTACATTCGTTTTTCCAAAGGTTCAACACAGTTACAAAAGTAATTACGAAATTATTATTATTAAATTCTCGTTTTTCGATTAGATAATTAATATTTAACCACAAAATCAAATATAAATTAGTTCAAGAATACCTTCAGAAAGAAATAACAAAAATTAATCGTTCTTGCTGTAACTTCTACAATATAAAAAAACAGTGTTTAATTAGAGTGAACAAGTTATTTAAACAATCAAGTACTCACCTACGCGTGTGTGCGATATTCTCGATGATACTCCCCGGTTTTATATCGCCTAAATTCGGTTTTTTAGTAGCACGAGCCCTTCTCGCTCTGTTTCGCAGAGCCTGAAACGGTCAATTGAAAATCTACATTGTGATATAAATCAGACGAGAAGTTCCAAACTCGAGACATAAATGTATAGCATAAATCTTTGTGCGAGATTTCTGTAGATAACACTCAAGATGCGTTATCGAGCACCTATCTGCAGATAACGAGATTTATTTCGACGGTTTTACGGAAGGAAATTTCTGTGCTGCTAAAGCATTATGATATTTCGCTGTTAATTTAACTGCCATCGAAAAAGTTTTATTCCTCTAGTTTAAAAAAAGAAATTACATAATTTTCGATATTCATATTTTATTCTCTTGGAAAGAATATATTTTTCTAGAAATAACACAAACTTTTTTTATCACATACAAATAATTATAATCACAAAAGGGATTTAATTCAGCATATATTTTTTTATTGTTTGCTACTAAATAACGCTACTTTAAAATAATATGTGTGTGTGTGTGTGTGTGTGTGTGTGTGTGTGTGTGTGTGTGTGTGTGTGTGTGTGTGTGTGTGAACGAATAAATTATTACAATATGTAATGTAGCTGCATGAAAAACGGTTTGGCTGAAGTATCTAAAAATTAAATAGGTACATACAAATTTGAAAAGAATTTCATTAGGGCATCAAAATTATATAAGCAGAATACTCAAATTGATTGCCAGTATATCCAAATTTTTTGTAATATTATCGTCATTTAAATCTGCTATTAAATTATTTTGGTTCAATATAATTATTTGTATAATCTTGATATTATTGTCAGCTCTGTATCTAGCTAAATTTTTAGGTACTTCAACAAAACCGTTCTTTCTATGTATTGAACAATTATTCATATTTTCTTTTTAAATTTTTGTTTGTTTATAGTATTTTTTAATACTTAAACAATTAAAATGTAGAATTTTTCAAATATCTATATTAAAAATCACAAAGTTAAGAGATGCAGAAATAAATTTTAATCGTAAGCAAAGAATTTTTTTTACATATGTTGTGTATCGTGTACGTGAGTACACGTGTCGGTTCAATAAAGAGATTATTGATTTCTTTTGAGTAAAAAAGAAAAAGAAGAAAGGTGGATGCTGCTGTACAAAAATTCCGTTTGTTATTTCTTTTAAATTTCACTAGATTCTTCTTTTGAAAACTCGAGTTCTTCGTCTTTCCATCTAAAGTTATATTCTTTACATTGCAAGTTTTCTACGAAGTTCAGCAGATATTTACAACTGACAGTGATGCCGCTCCGATTTTATGAAGGGTGTAAGCTCTTGACGTAATATCACGCACGAATAATGTGGTAATATTATATTGAAAATATAAAAGCTATATATCAATATTATTACGGTATTTCACGCTGATATTATGCGCGTACAATTACCGCAAGTATGAAATTAACAGTCCAATCGAAATATTCTGTACGCTACGAACGTTGAAATTGTCCAACTAGCTGTATTTACGATCTACCGCAATATGATAGCAACCGCTGTATAAACCGCAATGCACTTTGCTCCATCTGCGCCCGAAATTTATCGCATAAAATTTGAACGCAATTTTTATTAAGAACATATCAAACACGAGAAATTTCCGATGGATGAAGTTGACTTTATAAGCTTGTTTATAGCAAAACTATTCGCCGTGAAATCACATCACATTATTTAAAATGTGCTCGATTTTCAAAATACGTAACATATTCATACGATCGCATTACGATTTTTTATCGACTGTGTTACGACTACTATATGTATTTTAATTATTATGGTCACATCTCTTTTCTACTTTAATTTCACAACGAAATATTAAAGAATTCTGCGCTGTCGGCAACAAAGTCGGATTAATTTTAGCGGTATTGCACACAGCGCATACGTGACAATTAAATTAGAAGACAGCAGAGTCTTTGCAAGAGCTACCTTTCATGGTACAGCCAATTTCGCGATTGGTTCACGTTTCTGAAGTAATCATAGAGATAAAAGAGGCACGAACAAATTTTTGCCCTTTTGTAATCGAGCCAGAGATAATTTCTTTTTCGTCTTGTCATCGCGTGCGTGTGTCAGTTCAGCTACAAAGACAGCTATCGATTTCTTTTTGGAATAGAATCTTTATAATAAATTTCACTACGCGGTCTTTGTGCAATTGCTATGTAACAGGTATATTAAAAAAGCCATATGCTTTAAAATTCAGATAAATATAATTTCCCACAGATATAATTTCAACATCAAATTGTTTTGTCTAAGATTTTATCTCATTGCAGCGTTAATCAATTTCCAATAATATTTAAAATATGGCGACGTCAATCGCAATTACGTTTAGAAATTTAAATATTAAATCGCAGATTTTTTATTATTACATCAAAATTTGTTCGCGTCGTTCACAATTTGTATGGGCGATGGTAATGACGTTTTATTTAATCTACGTGTTCGTTTAATACGCAATTTCGATTACCCGTATGATCCTATATTTTCCGCTAGCCAGCTTGACCTATTAATACCAGCGTTTCTCAACCGCCAGTGAGAAAACTTGATCTCTCGTTTACTATACGTATGCGCATAAGAAAGTTTTACAATAAAAATTTCAAATTAAAAAAAAATAAATTTTCTTAAATTTTACGGGGCAAAATTTTAGAACTGATATGTATGTTGATATCTCTCCTTACTTAAAAATAATAACATAAAAGACGCAATTTTTGAATTATTATCATGGATGAGATTAAATAAACATGTTTCTATTAATCATCAAAAGTGGATTAACTGGACTTCATAAAAAATTATTGAAATCGTCACAACTCAAAAAAAATGGTTTAAAAAATTTGTTGATATATAATGGTTTTTTTTTTAAATTGCAAAACGAAAATGATAAAAATGACATTTGACCATGTCAAGAATATATTCTTTTTGCCAATATTATTTAATTTAATTAGTCAATAATTTTCTATGAAATCGAAAAATAATTTTTCTCCTTTTCTGAGAAACTTAATTTTTTGGGTTGTGTCATTTTTGCAGTAAGGTAGCGACATGTTGATTAATAATCGAGGCATGCCACAGCAAAAACGTAAGTGCTAATATTGTGAAAAATATATCTTATTGTATGATTGAGTAAATGCTATTTGGCGTGAAAAGTACTACTAGAAACAGAAAAAATGGGTAGTACAATTCAAAACGTTGTAGGTCTATTATGTAATTGACATTTTTATTTGGACATTTTGCACTTTTACATGGATTTATAACATTTAAAAATTTTAACAACTTTAAGATGATTTTATCAAAATTAGAAAGACCTAATTAAAAATTTTGCAGAAATTGATTGTTCATATTTTTAATTATTACAGTAATTCTTTGTAGAATTTTTTTAAAGCGACAGAGTTTTCAAGAAAATAAGTTTTTTCTTTCTCCTGAAAAATTTAAAAATAGCATTTACGTTTTACTTTGGCATGCCTCAATTAGTTATACTCTACATGCATCAGCCGATTCTTATAAAAAAAAATATAGGTTTATACGACAGCGTATTAATATATATGTGTTGCCGCAAAAAAAAATCACATCGCTCTCACCTTGAATATATTGTAGTAAAGGAATACCATGATGATGCAGGGTATGTAGAAGCTGGACAGGCTTGAGTAGATGATAAAATCCGTATTGTAGAACAGACATTGGTCCGGTATCCGATCCGGAGTATTATTCAGGCCTAGGACAATCGGGCTGCCGATCGCGGCCGATATCGCCCAGACCAACAGTATCGTCAACCATACTCTTCTATTGTTCTTGTGCTTCGCATACTTTATCGGCTGGGTCACCGCTATGTATCTGCAATTCAAAATCGGTTCGCGTGCGTTGCAATTGCCTCTCGCATTATATCGCAAAACCATCCATACAGATCCAGCCAGATTCTTGTCTCATCCATTCTTCTGAATTCCCATCTCGAACGATATTAACATACGTATTTGTTATGTCCGTTATTATTAAAGCCAATTGTCGCTTTTGACAAAATTGATTTCGGAATAAAACAGAAATAAATTTTAAGTATGTAAGGGTGTTGCATCACCATACAGATCAGTATGACGGGTTGCCCATTCATGCAGGTGCGCAAGATCGTTCGCAATTGCGTAGACTTCGGCGGCACAATCAATGGCACACCTTCTTTTCCAATAAAGTTTGCAGCATATCAAATTGTGATGCAATTATGATGAACTTCCGTAGAAATGAGTTAAAACAGAAGCCGAAGTGACAAGATATAGGTTATAAAAACGAATATTGTCGTGAAAACGAAGCATGTCTTCCTTCTTATGAGAAAAATTCGATCATAGAATCGATCGTAATCATTGTATAATATAATTTGATTATTTGAATTATTTTTACAGAGAACGAAAGTCAGAAATAAACATATCTTTGCAAATTTAAATTATAAATCGACCAATAAATTAGATTCACTGTAAATTTAAATAATGACAATAATCGGTGGATCTTATATTTATTTTGGAATAATAATAATTCATTAATAATAATTTAATAAACTGTGATTAATATAAGCATTATACAATTTTTTATATAAATGACTGCATATTATATCTATATTTTATAAATCTCCAAGATGATTATTACTAAAAAACATACATTAAATATGATGCAACTTGGCAAGTTTTACAAGATGTAAGTTAGCATCATATTTAATGTATGTTTTTTAGTAATAATCATCTTGGAGATTTATAAAATATAGATATAATATGCAGTCATTTATATAAAAAATTGTATAATGCTTATATTAATCACAGTTTATTAAATTATCAATTTATTAATGAATTATTATTCTTCCAAATAAATGTTATAAGATTTACCGATAATTGTCGTTATTTAAATTTGCAGTGAATCAAATTTATTGGTCGACTTATAATTTAAATTTACAAAGATATGTTTATTTCTGACTTTCGTTCTCTGTAAAAATAATTTAAGTTACATTACATAATGATTGTGATCGACTATGATCGAATTTTTTTTATAAGAAGGAAGATATGCTTCGTTTTCACGATAAAATTCGTTTTTATAACCTATCTTGTCACTTGAGCTTCTGTTTTAACCTATTTCTACGGAAGTTCGTCATAATTGTATCACAATTTGATATGCTACGAACTTTATTGGAAAAGAAAGTGTGCCATTGTTTGTACCGCCGAAGACTACGCAATTGTGAACGACCTTGCGCGCCTGCTCGAATGGGCAATCCGTCATACTGACCTGTATGGTGATGCAACCTCTATACACTGCATCTGTAAAGTTGAAAGGTAACTCGTTATCTGTTACAGTTAGAGCTACTTTTTTCAGTAACTATAACTTATAATTACGTTCCTTCTTTCTATCTATAATTGTAACACATTTCTTGGTAACTAATACTTAATGCAAAATAGTTACTCTATATGTTTTAAATTTATTCAACATATGAACTAATCAAAATGAAGTGCTCAATGAACAATATTCAAGCCGAGTAAAGCTCAGCATTTTTAAATAGATTACTTAAAAACGCACTTCACGCCTGGAATTCTTCTATTATGGAATTCATTATTTTGATAATATCAATAAAAATTAGTTCTTTAACAATTTGCTTTAAATACACGTTTTTGTCGTTCGTAATTTGTGGTTGATTATATAAACTTCTTATGAAAGATTGAAAAAGCCATAAAAGGATATTTTCAAGCCATTGTAATCTCGGAAATTTCCGAAGTTCGGAAGAGATACTATAGAACAATTTTAAAACTTAAAGTATCTTTACAAAACTCTTTCAAAATGTTTTTAGTTTTTGGCATCTCTGTAACAATCTATCGTTACAATTGTTTCAGATAGAAAATTGTTTCAAAATTGCTCCAAACTTGTGCATTAATGTGTTTTTCGTTGCGATTTAACTAATAACAATTTATTTCTGTACAGCCGACTGTGAAGGCGGCACATAACACTGAAATATAATGATCTATCATCGTATGTATCAGTATCACCGGGCACTCTTCAACCTTTTGTTCATCTTATCATCAATTTACTACGTTACAAATAAGTCAATTCTATAATCGTCAATTATAATTTCGGAACAAAGAAAGCAATGGGAGAAGAAAATAAAGAAGTTATCATATTCTCAACCAATGACACAAAATCAATTAAACAAAATGAATATCATTATATCATTTTCAAAATGTAATTTATATACACTTTTCCAGTTTACGTATTTTTAGATTCACTTAAACAAAAATGATAATTTGTAATTTAAATTTTAAAAGAACATTGTTCAATAAATGTGCGGGATTAATGCTTCTAGGAGTCATGTCGAAAATTATACGAAACAAATAATTATATTATTATTAAATTGTAATTTTATTACTATATTTCAATTTTGTAATTTTTTCCTAAAGAAAGAAAGAATATAGTAAATAATTATAGAATGAGATAATCAACTCAAATCTACGTAATAACATACATAATTTTAATCATTTGTTTTTTTGATAGGTTTATGCCTAATTATTCGCGATGTAAGCCTTTATTAATCTAAAAAATTGTGCTCAGCAAATTTAAACGTACCAGTATGTCTAATTCTCCTATCTCAACGAGTTGCATTCCGAATATAAGTGTGATCTTTGTCTGCATTTTATTCGAGGCACGTAAACCAATAAAATCAGCCTACTCCCTTTTTCCTGATTTTCAAACTTTCTCGGTAATGACCATGGCTCTTTTACGACCATGAGAATTGGCAAAAGCACACGTCTTGATCGCTAATGTCTTCTATTATTGGAATTTAAGGAAAAAAGTGGAAGATCATAACGCAACTTTATTTCTACGATGTTAATTTGGTTTATTAGTTGCACGTGAAAAATTTATCAAGATTTTGAAATTTATTTGGTAATATGTCACACGTTCGTAGTACTTTATATTTTATAAGGACTTTTAAATTCTAAATAATGAGCAAAATTATCGAGGTATTACAACAATATATTATCATTTGTTCTTATAATCGATACTGAAAACTGTCGATAAGCTATAATCTTTATTATAAATACTAAATATTTAGAGGAATGTTATCTCAGGAGAGTTTCCAAGCTCTTAAGTATCTTCAGATTGGTATTTTCATTCTCGTGTAAGCGAAGGAAGAATGTTTACCTGTCTATCGAAATAGCCACGAGATTGAATATAGAGCTGGTGCTGCACGTCACATCCATTGCGATATAAAAATCACAAACAAACCCGGGTAAACTCCAGGAACCATTCACCTGCAAACAAAAAACTTAGTTAATTTCAAAGAAAAATCACTAATTATTATTAATTACACATTTATCTGATATATAATACATTGCAAGACTATATTTTTTTGCTGTCCATTAGATTAATCTTTATTAAAGTAAATGTCATAGAATTTTATTTTTTTTTGATCTCTTAAAAATATTACTATTTAAAAAAACCATCTCTTTCTAAAGCATGTATTATTACACATGTAATAATTGTTCAAAATATTTGTATTCTCCACCATAGTGCATTTAAAATGTCTTTTAATATAAATGCTAATACGGAAATTCAATTATACGAAATCAAGAAAATTGAAGATATGTACAATTAGATGTAGATGATAAGCGTAAATATTAAGTCTAAAACATGGTTCTAATTAAATATTAATATTTATAATATAATAGTAATATAATAGTATATATTAGTAAATATTAATATTTATCTTATTTTTATTTTTATTTTCTGTGTGACTGAAGATAATTTAAAATAAAAATCAGAATGTTTCGTTATAGAAGCCCACCCAGACTTGTCTTAAAACTGTCATCTCATATCTGCTTGTTATTTCTGTGTGCTTTAGAAATATTATTACAAGAAAGTTCTTAAATTTTGTGAAATTGTATGCCTATATACAAATCATTACTCTGTTAATATTGAATAATATAAAAGTCTGTATATATGTTTATTAGCATATAAATTTTTCAATGTCGATTAATGTTCTTGTATTACTTTTTATATTGATATTAATTTCGTTAATTATATATGAATATTTGAAACAATTTGTAATAATAAACATAAAAGAGTAAATATTTAATTTAATAACGGGATTTTTTCAATTCAGCAATATCACTGCAATTTAGTTCAATTTCAATAATTAATCATCGATCTTACGACCGATTTGACGCATTCGTGTTTTTCAAAAACTTCTCGTTCCACTTATCTCTTCTCACGGATGAAAATAATAATGTCGCTCGAAAATCATGCACGCACCAAAACGATCATATGTCACAGAACGATTTTGCGCATCGCTGGACAAGCATTGTATGCATGGCTGCCAACAAATTTCAAACAAGGACTACATGCATTTTTCAAGCGAACTACAGTCCACCATATTCCGATTACATTGTGCATTAGTGCAGTATATGCGATGCGTTTTATCGTCGTGGCCTATATTACGACGTCGATTATTTATTTCGATTTCTCCGTGCGCCGCGCCTCACAAAATGTATCTCGCACGATAAGATTGGCTCGTATTTCCGAATAAAGTTTTCTCATGTTTATTGCACACGGTTGAATATGTAGATATATGCAAGAGCAAACCCAGTATCAAAGTAAATCGATAGATCAAACAAGGTTCATATTTGCTTGATTTTCAATAATTAGTGAAGAAATAGATCGTGAAGAGTATTGATTTAAATTTAAACTAAGTAATTTATTAGTATAAAAATAAAAATAATTTTATAGCTTCAACTATAAATCAAATGTAAGTAAAATGCCAATAATATAAACCTCCGTGGTTGATGTGTAAACAATCATGAAATGCAATAAAAATTTAATATTCTTTATTGTAATTATTGCGTTAGTTTCATTGAAAATAGTTTCCAAAAATACATCACTACGAGACAACGTGTATATGTAAATACAAAAATATAAGACAAATTTATAACTTTGTTATTTATGGTTAAAACGTTTTGTTAATAAGATATTCCATATCCGTGTTTACTGAAAAGACGAGTCATTCAAGAGAAAACGAAATAAGAGTCATTGATCAAACATTTTAGGCGATAAATCGAAAAATAAGCGATTTACGTCTCCTTTTCAACATTCTATCTGCATTTTCTATACCATTCGCTCTGTCCTTTTTATCCATTCAGGAAAGCACACTTACTCGGTGGCCCTCATGGATTTTCTACAGCGGAAGCCAGAAGAGCCTTGATTTATTTGCAACGTTCGTGTCTCGTGTGCGAAATATCCCGCGGCCGAAACCCGTTTGAAACACTCGGTCACATTTCCGTCTCTACGTTCATCCCTGCAGGGCTGTTTTCATCCTGTGACACGTTTGCGTGAGTAGCCCGGATAATAAGATATTTCTAACATGACATAATTATTTCATCGATTTCCACACAATTTACCATGTATTGATTTATTGGGCTCTCAATTCGGCTGCATGTATTTTCCATCGAATTTTCCAATGTGTACCAATCATAACGAAATGGTTGGAACTTTAATGAAAAGTTTGTCTCTTCAGAACTTAAAATTCAATCGAAACTCTGAAATGCGTGTTGACTGTGTCTACATTCTCATATGCGAATTCTCCGTTATTCCTTTGATAAATCCACTATTGTTGGGTATACTGGAAGATTGTTTCATCCTTCCCACCTACGTTATCGCACGTACGAGGATCGACGAATTCGCGCCAAAGGCACGTGCGGGAAAATTTATTTATATTGTTGCAATCTCACAAATATAAAGCTCAGATTGGCAAAAAAATTTGTATGACTACACGAAAATACAAATTTGTTCTCCTTTTTTTGTAAGTTATTTTTCTATAAATACATATATTTTAGCTATTGAATATGTTTCTTACGCTTGCTGAATTACTTCCATGTTATTCTAGTCACACATACTGCGAAATATACATATTTAATATGTATATTTAATATGATTAGCGTAAAACTTGAATTCTTAATTAAATTTATGAGCGCAACATTTGAGAGTCCATATACGTGATTATATCGCGGCTGCTAAACGTGTTTCAACGTACTCCGCAGAAGAATATATAAACGCAAATATAAAAGATGAAAACCCAAGTTTAAAGCGGGAGAGCAGGGAAATTTAATTCAGACCGTTTAAATATGTGCAATCTGTACACGTAATGTCGTCCCTTGTATTCTTTCTCGGATAAAAGGGGCAGAAAAATGATATGAGTGCGTTGCGCTTCTGCAGCGTACACGGAGCGGGAAATTTTCACTTCTGTAACTCTTGGTTATATATGCGGCGCAGGATGTGCTTCACGGGTAAACACACACATATGTGAATACGGAATAATATTCCACGGCTATATAGGCGTACACGGTGCGGCGGTATAATGCATTAGTACAGGGTCTAATATAGGTATTCCCACGTGCCATAATACAGGCATGAATCGCAGTTATTGCGATATTTCAAACTACTTGTTAGCTACATTCTCATCGTTTTCCTAAAAAACTTAAATTATCTAATTGCGCATACATTTTATGAGGCTGCTAACTTTATCTTCTACCAGCAGGTCGACACACAACGCATCCATTAATTTCAACATTTATTGATTCCCATATTTCCAAATAAAAATATTACAATAAAAAATCTTTTATTACATGTTATATCTTCATAAATTTAACATGATTCATCTTAATAGACATTTTATTATTTGACTCTATATTAATTATTTACACACAAATGCTTTACAAACAAAGCAAAAGAGAGACAAAGCAGAGGAGAGTGCGTGTGTGTATTTATTTATAAAGTAAAAATTATAAAATAAAAATATAGACACGATCTATTCATAGCAACATTTAATCAGTAATAATCCATAATACTTATTACATACAAAAAAACTTTCATTCTAATTTAACATATTATAGGTCAATAAATTTAAACAACAGCTTCATTATTTATAGCTATACATAAATAATTATTAATTAGTATTTTGTAGATATGTGTATTTACATTTATTGTACATTGTTATTTAGATGTGTTTAATAATTTACTTTAATATCTTTATTATTCATAATACCCCTTCTATTTTATACTTTAAAAAATTGGGAAAACAAGAGAAAATTAACAAATAATCATAAGTAAGTTAACAATTCATAATAATTAAATAAATCAACGTATAAATTATGTAGTGAAACTTGTACAGTATATTTAACTCACATAATTAATTCCTTAAGTATCGCTGTGTCATTAATTATTGGCAATCTGCGTTGCACTGTCTTGCATTAAAAACTAGCGCAAACTAAGTTTCCGATAACGTTCGCGGCGGCGGCATATAGCAAAGTAATTATTATCGCCCCTCGTAACTTCCCTTGTTACACGCCCTATCAGAGCGTTACGCCAGTTTATATATATACCGGCTTTCGCAAGTAAAAGTGCACGTACGCGAGCGTCTCCATCTAAGATCAGCGAGTTCCCGCTGTGTTTTTAGCGAAAGCGGCGTTCGATTACGATCGAACTCATAATTAGGCTATAACCCGCATGATAAGCGATGTTTACGAGCAAATGAAGTCTGTGTTATGAGCGTGTCGGAGTTTTAGTGACCAAAGGGCCGACCGCATGCAATGCGTATGTGGCACGCGAATTGCGCACGGTGAAACGTATCGTGTTTTTCCACTTACCGTGATTAATTATTTAATTGCCGACGTAATTTCAAATTATCGTGAAAATTGTTTCTGTACTAACAGAACCATTTACCTTTAATATAAATCTTAATTATTTAATCGATTGATTTATAATAACAAATATTTAACGGATTTATGTATGTTTTAATATTAATAATTATATTTATTACAATTAGAATAGCTTCAGAGGAATAATTTTAAAATCGAATTCGTTAATTTAAATTCAACAATTCAGTTTACGCGTGCGTGCGCGTGCTAATACGAGTATATATTGACAGAGATAGATTAATGAACGTAATTTAAAATATTCATTGCGTATTACACGCGAGCTGCTTTCCGCCAATATAGTTTGTCACGAGTTGTTGTTATAATTTCTAACAACAATAAATGCAGTTAAATAAAATATATACTGTAAAGAAAAGTGGCACCAATATAGATAAATAATATTTTTTTCGATAATGGAAAATAATAGGAAAACTGTAGTTTTTCTCAGAGAATTTCGTTGCCGCGACACAATGAGATATATTTCCCCAGAATGCAGTTATATATGGGAGACGGCAATAATGGTATCTCTC